TTTCTGTGAACAACTTTTCTACCAAAAGACTTGCTCCGATTTTTACGTGTAGCAACTTTTCTAAAAGGAAATTTCACAGGGGAGGTACTTTAAAGAGGTCGTTTCACGATTTTCTCAGGAGTTTTTTCACAAATGTGAAAAACTGGGGAAAAACAGGAAAACCGGGAAAAACGCAGGAAAACGGGGGAAATCGGTACAACATTACAGAAATATTATTAAAGAATATATATAGAGCCTATTTACTTATTTCACTGTAATGTAAAATATTATTTTGACTAAGCATCTCTATCGACTGAACTTCGCTCAGAATCGTTTTTTCGTATGCAATGGTTTATCGTAGACATTTTAATTTTTCGTTTTTTGTATGTGATTTTTATTCGGTTTCTGGTAGAAGAGTTGTGCACAGGTAAAAAAAAAAAATAAACATCGATGTAAAATCATGAACTTCTTCGCTCCACTCAGAATCTAAAATGCGATAAATACATAAATACTATTTGATATTAAATATATTAATTATGATAGTGAAATATCTATTTGTTGTAGTTGGATCCAACTCCGAGTTAACTACAAAACCAAACTACGTCTACTATATTATAGCTATCATAAAACTAATTTAGACCTATGACATTCAACTGTGGGGTCGTGCCAGTAAGCCCAACTTTGATATAATACACCGTTGTTAAAACATCACTTTTCGCACTCTTCTTTACTGCAGCCTACCGGTTTGAAAGAAACAATGACATTCACCGCGATATGATGCTGCTTACCATAGCCGATGAAATCTAAGAGTTTGCTCACAAAAACGAGACAATACTAGATCACCATGTCAATCCATTGGCCATCCAATTACTAGATATTTCCAAAGACATTAGACGCCTTGGGCGTTCGAAACCACACGACTTAGTTAAGGATTTAATTTAAGGGTATGGGCCACTTCAGTGGAAGTGTCACTTCATCGACGTGTAAATTGTATATTAACATCTAGTATAAAAGATATATATATATATTGTTAAACATATTTATAAAAACCTCCGAACCGTTTAAATAATAAATTCTCTGGGCATTTAAAAAAAATAAATAAATTGACGAACAAAGAAATAGACGGTGTATTACATTAAATATGTTTTGGTGTCAACATTTTTGATTTTCGTCATTCCGTTGACGAGATATTTCACTTTTAAAATCCTTAACTATACACGCGCGGTGTACCAATTCCATCAATTTGGTTTACACAGAAATCAATGTCGTATACTCGTATTGTATATATGTTAGACTTTATTTATTTATAAAGTACAAAGCGCCTAAAGTATTAAAATTTTTTTTAAAATTTAATTATAACAACGTATAAAAGAAAAAAAAAATGTTTTTTTTTTTTACCGCATAATTGCGTAAGTAAAAATATCTTACTGTCAGATAATTTGTCTTTGTTACTCACTCTCTTGACTACAATAATAATAATAATAATAATAGTATAATTTTTATATAACAATTAAATAATAGAAAAAAAAAATATATGGCATTATCAGCCAATTTAAGGCGTAAAAATTACTTACATTATTTTACATGCGCGGAGTATTTCGTACACCAATACAAAAAAAAAAATTCAATACGGAGCTTGTTTAGGCTGCTACAAACATCGAATGACGACTGAAATGGATTAATAACTATAATATATTACATAGATAAGTAAAGGTTAGACGAGGAGAATAACTGAAAACAAATATGAACCAAAATAGAGCAAGATAAATAGAAATATTTGTGTACCGAGTACACCAGCGCGTGTAGTCAAGGGTTAAGTTTATGCAGGGGGAGAGTAGTAGAGCACTGATAAAACGCCGTGCGCTGTGGCGCCATACAAATAATACTCCACGCTACTCTCCCCCAATTTAAACTTAAAATTGGAATATCTCGTCAACGGGTAGACGGAAATAAAAAATTGTAACATCAAAATGTATTTAAAGTAATTCTCCATCTCTATTTATGGAATTTGTATTACACCTAGGTTCTCATTTGAAGTTGATATCGCCACAGGATACTCTATTTAAATGTTGTGTAAAATTTGAGTATTTGAAAATACCGGCTTTTATTACACTTAAAAATTGCAAAAGCAGAATTTGACTTTGAAGCCTTACCTTTCCACCTGCTACCTCTGGCACACCCATTCCCAATGTTAGCTTTTTTTTTTTTATTATTATTATTGTACTACTAAAAATGTGTAATTTCTAGCTTGGTAGTTATATATTTCAACTACTGCTCGTAGTTGAGTATGTAGGTGTCAATTCGCCCGGTGAGTACTATGCAAAACGCTAAGTAACCTCGGGAAACCGTGTTTATATTTAAACACATACGAGTGTTCTTAGATAACACAATATTTTATTTGAACTGTCTGGGCCCGTTCTCCGGGTCTTCTTCCCGAAACACCGGGCACGGGTGATTTTTACAATAATATTTTAATAATCTTTTTAAATATTTGTAATAAAATAACCGCATCAGCCTGCGACAGTAGCGCGCTACTCCTGTTACGGCCGGCAACCGCGTAACACGTTTTGCTGAGTATACGTACCTATTATGTAATATTTTAACATAACAATAATAGGGTGTAGTCAATTTGCACCAAAAGTGACCTTAATTGACCCTAACATGTGTAATTCGCACCAATATTTCAATTATTAATTGTAATAATATTGTTGAATAATATTCAATTTATAAATATATAAGTTCTTCTCATCGTGATTGATGTGTGAACTTTCATCACGGACGATCGTCATATTTTCACCACTTGTGAATAACTTTGCAGAACATTTACTCTGTGTACACCGCCAACGAATTATGTTCGTACTTTTTGTTTTATATGCAAAATAAAAGGTATGACTGTTATATTCTAAAATATCTTGCCCACGATTACTTTTTATTATTTTAACTTCCATACCTACTACAAAAAAAAACTCCTCAAAACTACTTAAAAAAAACAAACGTGGTAAACGAGATTATATTACCTATAACGATGAAACGGAAAAGACTAAAAGGCTAGATTAGTATTTGGTCGAAATAATCACGCGATTACAACGGACATTGAAATGATTACCAGATAAGGTGGATAAATCCCGGAAATAAAATACATTCCTATGATAAAAGAGAGAGACAGAATATTGTAAAGATAAACTTATCTTACACAAAACAATAATGTTTGTATTTTTAAAAATATTAACCCAACTATTTAAAAATATTAACCCAACTACAATTTTCTTTTATACCACACTATGGATTAATCGAATAGGTACTTGACAAACGATAATCGAATTCATAGATACTCATTTTGGTGCAAATTACTAACTCCCCAATAATAATGCCGGCGACGGTGACAACCGTGCAATGACAAAATAATAAAATACATTAAAATATTTTATTATTATTGTTGGCGGCTGGATATACCACAACGGACTCCGTTTTTCGTTTATCGATGGTTTATCAACGTCTTAATTTAGATCAAGATAATCTCTCACGAGAACAAATGTTGACCGGTGATTTTGTAAATAGTGTTAATATTTTACAAATATTTGGAAAACTATTAAATAAGCTATTACAGTAGACGATATTTGTTTAACACCATTGATAAACAGGATTGTTTTAGCCCTGCGCCGCGATCGCGGGGCTCGATTGCCATTGATAAACATGGTAACATTTTCAAAAAATATTCCGGATTTGCAATTTTACACGAGATTCGTTATTATTTTTACTTAGTGGTAATAAAAAAAAAAAACAGCAGTTAATATTTCAAAACGTGTACGACCGAACATTTTTCAAAATCGTGTTTCTTTATCAATGATTTATTCTTGTGTATAAATATATAGATTAAATAACTGTTTATGGTATTTTAATTTTTAAACTTACCATCCGCAACAATGGCGTAACCATCAGCAGTATTTGGTCTATCATTTTTTTCAGGTTTGGAGTGGAATGAGGGATCTTTTGGATTTAATATAAATATTTTAATATTTAATATATCTTGTGGAAAATACTTTTGAAAAGAATTAAAATACTAATACTATTAATACTATTAATTACTATTACTATTAAACACTCTTACACTCGATAGTGATGCTTTGTCAACAATATAGGTACATGCCAAATTATGGTAAAATAATTACACAGGCATTATATATTCTCTTCAATAATATCTGTTTAATATTGTAACTATTTTCCCGGTTTTCCCCGTTCATCGGGAAACACCCTCGGAAAAATTAAAATATTACATCGTAATAACAATGTAGGTAGGTATACCTACTATCTAGTAATAAAATAAAAATGAAACCAAAATTGTGTTCATCTTCCTCGTTGACGGTAATCGCTTTTGAGAGACCCTATTAAAAATCTACTTTTTTTTCATAAAATTTAATCGTAATTTTCATGAAATTTCGGTAGGGGGGAAGGGAGTTTGAACCGCTAAAACCCTGTCTTGTACACGCACCTGGGTGGAGACCGAACATTTTATAGCTGCTTATTTCCGAAATGTTTTGGAAAACAAATATGGTGAAAACAAAAAAAAAAAAATCAATACTTCCGAGGTACCGAGCCACGTTACGTTGGTAGCACTGTATTTCGAACAAGCAAAAACGCCACTGTTGAAAGTATTGACCTTTCGACAATTGTCGCGGGGACCCAATGGCACTGCGGTGCGAGTGCGCGACGCTCGGTCACGGCCGTATCCATCCCTTTTTTTTTTTTTCTCTCTTCTTCCGCGAACACGTCTATTGCCGCCTTTTAATATCGCGAAACCGTAATCCGCACGCTCGACGAAAAGCTGAACTCGGCAATTGTCGTGGTTCCGTGGCCGTTGCGCCGCCGGGGTGGTTTATTTGTTTCTTAATTTTCAATCGTCACATTGCGCCCGTCCCGCGCCCGCGGGACACTACGACCGTTTGTTCGACGACGGGTATCGTCGCGCGCGCCCGTTTCCAAAGAGTACCTATAAACCGTTGCCGCGATCGATACAACGTTCGCTGATAATGCGGCGTCGGGTCGGTACCGAACGGTTACAGTGAACGCAACGGATATCGCGTTTTACAGTTGTGGTAGTCGGTCGTTTGTTTGTGTGTGCACCGTCAGTCGGCTTTTTCCAGTTGTAGGCGCAGTCGTTTTTCTCCTCCGCCATTCCGCAATCGTCACCCGATAAATACACCTAACCGAACGTTGATATTTCCGTCCGCGAACACCCAACTAATTTATTAGTGACGAATCGCCGGGTCGCTGTCCGCTATTATACCGTGAACAACATTCGTTTGTTTTCCGACCGTTTTCCGAGTACTTAGACTTTTTCTTTCCGTCGTCCCTTATTCGCAGTCCTTGCGCGTTCTAAGGCACCTGCATATTATTATCATTGTCGGCGATTCCGTACGGGTCTCTAGACGGAACCGAATTACCGAACGTTTACGAAAGCGCCGTCGAACCGAACGATAAAAAAAAAAAAAAACCGCCGGTTTCCGCGAAGCCGACAGCCAATCCGTAGCACCGAGCCGTTAAGTAAGTATACAGCGACATTCAAATTATTAATAAAATATTATCTGTTTTTCTTTCGGTTTTCCATACGAAAATCTGTTACGTTCTAAAATCGCCCGGTCGATTGGCAAAGTTCGCACCCGAATCAAACGACCCGCGGGCGCTGAACTCGGACGCGAAAAATACGCTGCGGCAAAATGTTTTGGGATTTTTTTTTTTTTTTTTTTCTCGTCCCGGCACTTAATCAGTGGCGTGCCCGTGGCACTATCAATGGGAGGGGATGTAGCACCGTACAAATCGCGAATAAATCGTAAATTAGTCTTGTCAACCAAAACCGTTTGCCAACAATCCGGTTTCCAATCAATATGTCTAGTTTATCCTCGACATTAGATTGCTCGTGTTTTTTTCTGTTTTGTATTTTAAGCCAACGAGGTTGGGGAGGGAGGAGGGATATTATTCCTTACCTACACCCTCCCCCCCTCCCAAACCCTCCCACCCTGCGCACGCCGCTGTACCCAATCGATAATATTAAATGTCGTCGAACGGCATTCGAAATTCGTGTCGGGGGCGCGGAGAATGGCGGTTTTTTTTTTTTTTTCTCAAATTTACGTCCGGGCGCCTACCTAGCTGATCGTTTAACGATTCGCCGTGAACTTTGTCGAATCGCGGTGGCGGTTTCCCGTCAGTACTTATATTTTTGAGAGCCGGCGATTTCCGGCCGGTGTAATATTTCATTTTGTTATAACCACCCGCCGACTAACCGACTGAAACACGCGCCCGCGCGCGCACACACACGCACACACACGCGCGCGAACGCACACACACACACACATACACACACACACACACCCACACATACACACACACACACACACGCACACACACACACACACACACGCTCACGTACACACAATAGCTTTGCAAATGACAATGTCTCGATAGTTGATAGTGTACATTAGATTTTAGAGTGGAACGAGTGGAGCCGTTTTAGATTTTTTTTTTTTTTTACTTTCCAATTATTATATTATTCAACCGGTAAACGCAACGCTATAGTTTTTTGGTTGGTTTTTTTTTTTTTTTTTTGTCTCCATTACGATATTAGTACTCACATAATGTTATCATACTTAGCAGCAACATAAACGTTCTACGGTAGTGCCGCTAATGGTTAATGATAATTGTTGTATTTAGACTTTTAGCGTAGAGCAGTAGGATACTATAGGTACAGCGGATGTTATTGCTGTTTAGATAGAATTGATTTTTCCCCCCCGCGGTACACTCGTCATCGACACGTAGCTATAATGTTGATACGCATATTATTATTATTTTTTGTAATTATCGCGGTCATTTTATTATTGTTATTTTTTTCTATTTTTTCTTTTTTTTTTTCCCCCATAGACGTTTAGTTAAAAACGAAACAATACGCGCGGTAGCGTGGGTATAGCGGTTCTAGGCGTAGAATGATGTCGTGCAAAACGTACCGCGCAAATCGACAACGCGAATTGGGTAAACCACGCGATAAATAATATTAATGTCGTTCGAAATCGTTATTATTTTGATTACGGCGAAATTACGCCGTCCGGCGTGTCATGTATAAGCGCAGCTGATGAATAGTATGGTAACGGCGGACCGAAATGCGGTTACGGCGGCTGCCGCCCGCGGGCGTTAACACGCCCACAATTAATGCTGTCGCGTACGTGCGGAATACGGCGACCCCGAGCACAACTAACGCGTCTGAAGAGAACCGCCCATTTTCAGATTGAATTTCGAACGACTTTTCGGATTTACCCGTCACGACGGCATTTCGAAACGCGATTTGCGGACATTCCGTCGATTGGGCGCCCGCGGACGTGTCTTTCGGATTTCAAGCCCGGGCCCGGGGGAATTAATCGATTTTTGCTTACGGGTAGCGGATTTGGTTCTTTGCCTAGGGGATGGGGGGGGGGTGGCGGCGGCGGCGGCAATATTTTTTAACGCGACAATGCCCTCCCCCACCCCCTTAAATGACGCCTCGAATTTCCCATAGTTCTCTATAAACCCGAAGGGAGGGCGGAAATCTGTTTTTCCGATCGGGCGTCGGTTAGGCACCCCACAGACGGGCCCTCCGAATTTTAGCACGGGTCGAGGGAATTTATCAAGGTCAATGCTTTATAGTCGGTAAAAATTAAAAAACGAAATAAAGACCAAATTTAAGAACAAACACTAATTTGTGGAGTACAATTTTTCTTCTTATCGTGTCCAGGCTGAATATTTACATAGACGCTTTTTTATATTCCGTTTTTTGCTCCATTGGTTAGGCTACGGCTATAGCCGCGTCCGTTGCAGTTAATAAGTCTTCGGGTGTGTATGGTAATGTGTTTAGAGGTCGTATTAGGACACTGTTTTCCAAATGGGGGAGGGGGGTAGGAGGCGTGAACAAATTATTGGGGAAGCGCAAGCATTCCATCATGAAGTAAAATTTGTGTATATCAAATTATTTGTATTTTACAATGTAGAGAAAAAATACAGATTTAATAATGACCGGTGGTTGGGTATTTTTAAAGATTACGAGCAAGGCCTAGATAGAGGCCACAGGGGGCAGTTGACACTTTTGATAGGATTTGTTTGCTTATTGACACCTTGATGAGCTTTTTTTGCTCATCGTATTTATTAAAATGGGACGGGGAGGGCGAGAGGTTTTTTTTCAAATCTACCAAAGGGGCGTAGGATAAAAGGAGTTGGGAACCGTTGTGTTAGGATGTTAATAATAATATGTTGTTCCGTTTGTTCACTGTCACAGCCGCGGTCCGTGGTACGGACAAAATCTACTGTTCTTAATCTATAAAGTGTTCGATTCGAATCGAAAGTGTTACAATTTTATTCACAGATTAATACTTACCGATTATAATATATATCGTACAAAACTCGCAAAATTAAAATGTCTAATAGCTTAAAAATGTTTTGAAAATTTTACATCTCTAAATAGCTAATATAATGTTTCAATCAAAATTTTAAATCTCTACGAATATTTTTTACTGAATTACAACAAAAAAACAAAATTGAAAATAATAAAAGTATTGTTTTCATAAATATTCCCGTTTTTCTCATTTATTGAGACTAAATAAATAATATGCAAATAGCGAATACTGGGGTGTGGGGACGGGTGCGGCTATACTGTTGTAGGTAAGTGTAGTTGGGAAGGTGGTATACATTAAATTATTTAATTTTATCTGTAAGTAACGATAAATCATTGTTAACAAAAAAACAATTCTGAGTGAAGTTCAGTTATACATATTTTAAAAGGACGTAAAATTTACGATTTTCATTAACATCAGATATTAAAATTCTTATAAAAAAATTCTGCATTTCACTCAATTTTTTTTTTTTTTTTACTTCTTTAAGTATCCATACAACTAATAATGAACCACCTATTAAATTGTCAAGCGTTTCTGTTCGTTTTAACAAATCTATCCATAGAGTACCTACCAAATAAAAATTACGTATACATCTTGCAAAATTAAAATATCTATAAATAGCTCAATAATAGCTAAACTAATTTTTTATCACGTCTAGGAAAAGCCAATATAAATTTCAAGCCTCTAATAATATTTTTAACTGAATTACAACAATAAACACAATTAAAAATAATAAAAGGATTATTTTTTGTAAATTTCCCCGTTCTTTCTTCGTTTTTTTTTTTGGATTTTCCTAATTATTATGAATATTACTTAGAAAATCAAAAGTGATTTTCACGGAGGATTTTAGTTTACCGTTTGTTTTTTTTTCTATAATATTAGGAAATTGTTTAAACTTTAATTCAAATGGAAACCCCTTATTTTCAAAACACATTCAAAAAGACATTATTTTTCTATAAATTCTGGTACCTACGCATAACCGCATAACAGTGTTATGATAACATATTATACCGCAGATGCGTTTTAAGAGATGAATCTAATTTAAGAATTTCGTTCGGAAGTGTAGGGAAGGATTATTATTATCCTTCCCTGTATGACTATTTGAAAACCAAAAGTTGATCACATGCGTGTACCCGGACAAAATAACGAAATAACCGTAACACATTTTGAATACGTTATTTAAACAAAACCATTAAATAGGTGTGGAAAAAACGCGAAAATCGATTTTAATCACCATGTATGTAAGCGACGGATCCGGAAAAAAAGATAACAAACACTCTGTATAATTTCGTGTCGCGAGTCAGGACCGTGGGAGAAACGAGTAAATTAAGTTTTCACGACGCGCGATTGGCGTGTATTATAATATTATTATTCGTTGTGTACGCCGAGTTTAAATTATTTAATTGTACGTCAGTAATAATTATTGTGTTTGAAACCGCTACATTCGATTAGGCGACGACTACGACGGTGTGTTGTTATTATCAGCCGCGTTGTTGAATATTAGTATTGTGTTGGTGCGACGATTGACTACAATTACTATATTATTGTATACGCGGACGGGCCCACGAAGACAGCGGTACTATAAAAATATGATCTTTTATCGGGTGTTTGATTTGTGTGAAGTTGTTCGACGTCATTTACCGTGCTATCGGGTTGTTTTCCGACGGGGTAGAAAGTCGCGAATATATTATCAAAAATTATAAAAGTAAACAAAAAAAAAAAAAACACTTAAAAGGTACGGGGGTATACTATCTGCCGTATAGGTATTATAATAAAACCGAACAAAATCACAAAGTCGAAAAGCTCGACGTTCCTCTTTCAATCGGTTTCGGATTGAAAACGAAACAAATCGTGTTTGAAAAAAAAAAAAAAAGTAGTTTTCGAAGTCTTGAGCCATATAAATATTATGGGTATTAAATTATTATTGTTTGTCCATTTTTATGGATTTTGTTCGTTGTTGTTTTAATTTGGCGTTACAGTGATTGTTTTTTTTCTATTTATAACACGCCGAAGAGCTTCGTTTTTATTAAGTACTATGGATTTTACGTTTTTTTGAAATAACACCGTACGAAATGACCCTTTAAATACCTATACTATATATTGTCTGATGCAAAAAATAAAATGTAAAACAAACATTATACAGCACCCTTGTTCCACTAAAAATCTAATACTATCGACTTACACTTATCTCAATAAAATTATAGGTACTTACAACAATATTGTGATATTAATTTTCTAAAACATTATTTAATATTGATACTATGTAAATATAAATAACTTTGACCAAAAGTCAAGAATTAGGTATACATATACGTGTAAATATTAATTACATTAATTTTTTTTCATCGATTAAGTCAAGTCCGGCCCTTCAAGGAACTGCTCAATGGATATGTACAGTCCCACGAGCATGACGATGTTCGATTCAATGGACAAATTCAATGTTCGGAAATGCCATCTATGTGAAGAGTATTTACTCTCCAAGGACAGTGTCTGCCAACATTTATTAAACTGTCCACGCGGATTAATCAGTCCACCAATTTTAGCCGATTGTCCTGATTCTGATAGTCACGAATTAGATGCCGATCTCGACACAGAGTTTATCAGCTTATTAGATTTCGACGAATCTGCTATCGACGAACTTACTATCGACGAAATTGTTGACATCTTCGAAGAGGAGGCTGACGTCCCAGTACCTCCTGTCGACGAAACTAATGTTAACCCTCACCCACGGTTTCTCATCGTAATTAATGTCAACTCTGAAACAGGGGTTATGAGAATAGTTAATCCAGACGAACCTATTAACAACGAATCTGATGCCGATGAATCTATTGCCAACGAATCTGATGTCGACGAATCTGATTTCGACGAATCTACTGCCGATGAATCTACTGCCGATGAATCTACTGCCGGCGAATCTGATGTGGATGAATCTTTTGTTGGCCAATTTATTGCCGACGAATCTGATGTGGATGAATTTTTTGTTGACCAATTTATTAGAAGAGAATTTATTGCCGACGAATCTGATGTGGATGTATCTTTTGTTGACCAATTTATTGCCGACGAATCTGATGTGGACGATCTTATGAGCTACAGTTTTTTTGATCGTGACTTCTTTGGTCTTCCTGATGCTAATATTATTTCGCCTGATCTCGATAGCAGGTAGTATTTAATTTTCGCCTTTAAATCGACCGATTTCAACAAATTTATACATTTTAAGTACATAATGCATTATTTTTTAATTCTAGCACGTATGATTACAACTATTTGCCTTCGTTTAACCGTCGTCCAAATGTATAGATGCACATCCGCGCGCACAAAACCGATGTAAAAGAATATAAAAAGTGAGCATTAGGTCATTTTTAATAATACTTTTATGGCATTGAGTATTTGTGCATTTAAAATAATCATATTCAAGACTTAGCGCATGGACTTTAAATCATAAAATAGTAATAATAGTAATAGTAATAAAATATGAAATTTAGTCTATATAATGACACCTGTGCCAGGGATTACTGGAGGTACGTGCGTCTTCCCCTCTCAAATTATTTTTTTATTAGTTCTCACAGAATTATAAGAAAAATATAATATTTTTTTTGATCTGTTCGGAGTTTAAAGTAATGTAATAAATTTATAAAACGTAAACTTGATTATTTAGACTTTAGAGAATGAAAAATACTTGTTCGAAAATGAGCAAGGAATATATTGGTTTTACAATGATATTCATTTTTTTATACTGTGTACAAATTTCTCTTAGAAAACTTGCTCTGATGTATCAAGTGTAGCACTTATATGAAAAAAATTTTTACTAGGACGGTACTTTAGGGTTGTCATTTTTTAATTTTCCCAGGGGTTTTATAATAAATCAGAAAAAACCTAGGAAAAACGTGAAAATTTACGAAATTTATTTCTTTCAAATTGTAAATATTTCGCCCTTTCAAAACATATGTAACCGAATTCCGCTCAGAATCATAGCATATATGGATTAAGTTTCCTTTCTTTCTTCCCAAGTTCTCACCTACAACAGTGGCCCACCCACCATGCGAAGTATGTCTTTTTTTATTGTATGTGTATATTGTATTAATCAGTAAACTTAATTGTTAATTTTTACACAAGTTTTTATATGGCGGTTGGAAACCATGTTTCGAGTAATATTTTTAATATTTTAGCTTCTGAGTGGAGAAAAGATTTATAAAGATGATTTTATTATTTTTATTTTTTTAAATATATAATGCCTATGTAATTATTAGTGCTTGGAAGTTGAAGGAGCTAAAAATGACAAAATATGCATGAAAAAATTTTAAAATGTGCAAAAAATGATTAAGTTTCTTAATCAAAAACATAATATAATATCATTATTAATAATATACACAAAAAAGATGTAGATTAAATACGAATATAATACGTTGTCATTAAATTAATAATGGACTGAGACAGTAAGAAATAACAAATGATTAGGTACGTTAAATAATATTGAGTTTTAAATTTAATATTATTTAAAATAAATTGGTTAAGAAAAAAAAAAAAATCAATATTTTTAGAAAAAATTATTAAATATGAGAAAATTAATGAAAATCGACGAAATTATGTACTTTTTCTTTAAAATTAACGAAATATGCAACATATGCATTTTAAATGTTCAATTTTTAAACTTTCGATCGTATAAAATGTTTTTGTTTTAAATTCGGTGCATACAGAAAAATATTCAACTCGTATAACTTCCGAGCCTTATTAATTATTTTACTATAATATGACATATATATTGTTGACAACACTATCAACTGAACTCTGCTCAGAATCGTTTTTTCGTTAATAATGGTTATCGTTGCTTACGGATATATATTAAATTTTCCCTCTATAACCTTCCCAACGCCTCATTTACAACAATGTTATCCGGATTTTTAAAAACGTAATTCCAATATGTTGCTATTGCACATCGGATTGTTGACGGGTACATTAGCCATTAAAGTATTAATATTATTTTGTAATTTTTTTTTCAATATTATTATGTTCATGAAACAAGAAAGGTGAGTGAATTTTGTCTATAAATAAATCTTAAATTGTAATTTTTATCAATGAAATACCTTTTTTTAAGATTTAGCTTGAAGTTTTATTTTAGCTTACTCAATATAAAATATCATGACACCCAACTGATATAGAGTAAGTTCTTAGGGGGAAGCTATAGTATCATATTTATTTGTTCCCATAGTCTTACAAGTCTTAAAAGACAAAAACGCATGATAGCAATTTTGGGTTCAATAGCAAAAGTTGATTGCTGATAATTTTAATATTAGAATGCATTGATTTATTACCACTTAAATATAAAAAAAATATTCACTGTGCTTGCATGTTGGTTTAATCTTATACTTACCTAATTTTAAGATTTTGATATTTTACATTTTAGGTACCCCTATCTTGCTTAAAAATTAAATCATCAAAAATTCTTACATAACATAGCCATTAACTGTGATAGTAGGTAAATTTACTATAATATTAATACTAACCCTAAAATGTGTAGCATTAAAAAAAAAAAATCATCTTTGTCTTAAAGTTTGTAAGAAAGATTCAACAAAATGAATGTGTGGTATCCTCTGAATGAGTTAGATTAGGTTATATTATTGATTGAAATTTTAAAGTAGTCAGCTTTTTTTTTTTTTTGTATTACGTTAATTTACTTTAGATTAAATTAGATTTATTTAGAAATATTACATTTTATTTAAAATTATCCGCTGTATGAACGGAATGGGTGGATCTCGGGTCAGAATTTCCCATCTTTTTCCTTATTGACAATTATAAATAATTATATACACATTATAAAACCATCATTCATTTTATTCAGAAATGAATTAGATTTAATATCATTAATTTATTAAATTCACTTTATTCTTGACACCATTTAATTGTTTTTATAATAAAAAAAATACACTTACCTAATATTGTAACGATTATCATTTTGTTTTAGGAATTGAAGATTAAGGAACTATTCAATTGGACACAAGACATTTTGTTCCCCTTATTACTGTACTAAAATTGATTAAAATATAGATCATTAGTTTTCATTAGCATAGCTTTATTTTTTCTAAAAACTATCCCTAGATTCGTTTGAGAATCCATCGCAACATCGAAAAAGTAAGTTAAATGCTTATTTATTGTATAATGTAAAATTTTTGCCAGCACCATTTATGTTTATAAATTAAATTAATTATTAATATGCACACCTATGACCATTTTTTTCAGTATATTTATTGTAAAATATAATCTAAATGTATACAAAGACAAATTTAGTCAAAATATTACATAGGTATAATTCAACAATAAATATAAATTTTATTGAATTCATTTTATAGGAATTTAGTTTAGAAGTTTAATTTTGATTTTTAAATGTTGCTCAAATTGATTCAATTTTTATTTCAACATTACAAGTTTGTTTCATTAATACAATGACGTTTATATATTCGATTTCTAAATTTTTTATCTATATTTTCACATTTGTGATATTTAAATTTTGCTAAAAATTAATTTTTTCATTTAATTTTATTACCATTGATGTGTATTGATGTTTTATTAACTATTATACTTAATTTGTTTATGATAAATTATCCACCAAACTAGTATAATTTTCATTTTTTTTTGCACACCGACTTTTATTATCGGTTAATTATTTCTGTCAATTCGTTGTTTATATCAGTGTGAATAATTTCGAGTATAATAATATTTATATTGAACAAAAAAAAAAAAAAAAATGTAGTTTTAGTATTATAATTATAAATAATTTGCTATTGTTGTTCATCTCAATGTGAATAATTTCAAGTATAATATCATTTATTATTAAGGAAAAAAAACTGTAGTTTTAGAATTTTAATTAACAACAATTTTTACGTGTTAATATTGATGTGAATAATTTCAAGTATAATATCATTTATTATTAAGAAAAAAAAAAAACGTAGTTTTCGAATTTTAATTAAGAACATTTAAATTTTTACGTGTTAATATTGATGTGAATAATTTCAAGTTTGTATACTATAAAAAAAAAAAAAAAAAAAAAATGCTTTTTTAGTAGGTTTTTTTTTTATTAATACTAGTTTGTAATTGATTTTATATTGATGTGAATAATTTTATAATAATATAATGGACAAAAAAAAAATGTAATTTTAGTATTTTAATTATCAAAGTCTCAATATTTTTAGAGAGTTTAAAACATATATAATTTATATATCTATGTATCTATATTGATAATTAAGTCGCTGTGGTCTTAAAAATAATTATTTTAATACTTTGAAGTCAATTAAAATAATGTAATTAAATTCAATCGTACACAATATCAACATTCCCTTTTTTTTTTTTTAATCAGGTATATTTTATAAGTGCAATTATTTTTACTAGGTATACTCCATTTTTAGCTGTATTTGATATGTACGTTATAATGTTAATACAATATAATAATATTTTAATAATATCTATTAACAAGTTACTGAAAACATAAAAACTAAAATATTAAAAAAAAAGTACCTTTTGACAGCAATAATGTCATTGAAGAAGAAATAATTCACTTTTCACATGATATATCTGTTGCATGAAGCGAATTACGCACTGACTTTGAATGCATTGTCCATATATTTAGGAGGAGAGGGTGCAGCATTCTTTATCTAAATTTAGCAATATCATCATGATTATGACGTATAAATGTGTTTTTGTTGTGATATTATGCGTAACTGTTGCTAATTCGTTTTCTAATTCTCATGAGAGTTTATCGTTTTTTTTTTTTTTAATTTCAATTTGGGCGCACTGATGCCGGGTTGCACAAACGGTCGATAAAAACAATTCAATAAGATGAGATATCGGTTTGATAAATAAGCTGATAGACATCTTTATTGAATCCACAAAGTCATATTCGGTTGCACAAATAATTCCAAAAAGATCAGTGGTTCATTCGTTAACCGTAGTTATGTTACTAATGATCACAAAATCACAATTACAAAAAAGTGATAAGTCAATCGATGTTATCATTTAAAATTAACTCCTATTGGTAGACTGTTTCAAGTCATTATCTATTGTATTAATTAACATCATGAATGTGTTTTTATTTAGCCAAAAAATGAAGTTGAAAATAAGAAATATTACATATAATTATAACTATTTTAAACATAATAATTAAGTTAAATGAACCTAAAGTACCTAAATGTTATTTTTATGTCAGAATACACTTGCATTTTTCTTTAGTTTATAATTTAATTTAGTTTTTTTAGATTGACGCGGATTCCGTCGTAGGAAATGTGAATTGAGCGTGGGTCACGGGGCCGATACATTATCGTAATATCGTTATCATAATACGTTACCATACCGGACTTTTTAATACATTTATCGAACCGATAACACAATATTTATTGGATTGATACAATTTATAGATCCTCTGTGCAACCTGCTAAAGTTTTATCGATTCGATAACCTAGTTAATGGTTCGATAACTCGTTATTGGTCGTTTGTGCAACCGGGCATGAGTCTTTACATGGAAATCCGGACCCTAATACCAACAACTATAACAATAATAATATATGTACATATAACTGTAGGAAGGTATTAGTTTAATTGAAGTAAATTGTTAGCGATTCACGATGACTCGTGTCCGTCAAAAGGAAAAAGGAAAAAAACCAAACCTTAATAATAATATAACAGTGACATATTTTTATTAACGTTAATATTGCTATATCTATGTGCATAATAGATATATAAGTGAGTGTAAGTTAAACTCGTTAAATTTATTAATAACGGCTTTATATTATGGTATATGTTTGTGTATATACATATATATATATATATATATATATAGTATTCTTCTACACGAATCTAATAAAAAAAAAAAAAAAAGCTAGTACATTGCACCATTGCGGGTATTTTATGCGTCGTACGATTCTCGTTCAGGATTCTGCTCATGGATAGGCCATTTTTGTAGATGGGTAATGTTAAGACATTGGGATATATTATATAATGTGATTTAATGTATATACGTGAGCAACGGTTCTGAGCATAGTTCGATGAATCATGTTTTAAAATGTCGTGATTTTTACGATTTTGTTAGAAATTTAAATTTTAAACCCGTATTTATAAAAATTATTACATTAAATTCTCCTATTTTCTCGGCGGTTTTTTATTAATTATTTTAGAGAAACTACAAGTGAAATCAAAAAATAACTTCCATAATGCACCAATGATAACTATAGAGACACAATTTTCTATTGAAAAATACCCCTGCGTAAAGCCGATGATTGAAGCTAACTTTATGATACAGAAAATTTGTTAAAAGACAAGAAAAAAAAAACACCCATACTCACACAGCGAAGACTTTTTTTTTTAGGGGGTTGGAGGAGGAACTAAAATTGTATAATAATATAAATTACTTTATTTTCGATATTTTCATAATAATAATGAGGTTTTTTTTAATTAACTTTAAACACATTATTACAAGAAAATATATTTTTATAAATACAAATTAATAACGTTATATATCAATATTTTCAGTTTTTAATTATTATTTATTAAATATTTTTCAATAGGTGTAATTTGACAGTAAAAAAAAAAAAAAAAAAAAAGATTACAATAGTTATTAAAGAGGACATTTTAGTGTAGTAAGCATCTCCTAGGGCCATGTCCCTAATTAATTGCACTTATAGATCCTTAAGAGGCCCATCGTCGGTATATGATTTCATGGAATTCCAGGGAGTGGCTAAAGGTAGGAACAGACTATTGTCACCTCACGAGAACTCATGTGCTATATCACGTTGGCACATTTGAACCGTGATGTCACGCTTAGAAACAAACTATTGTCGCATTACCAAGTTATCATGCTTTATTACGTCACAGTTATTCAGTAGTCACTGTTTTGTTACGAATTGTGTCCACACACGTTTTTTTTCAAAAATAAAATTTAAAATGGACAGAGCGACTTCAAGTAGTTCAGAGTGGAAAGAAGAACTGGAAACTGCAGCTGTTTTTGCGGTTTTAGATAAAGTAAATAAAAAACCACCCGATCAAGTTGGGTACACGAAATCAATAAAAAAAGAGAAAAATTGGGTGAATTTCACTGTTTAGTTCGTAAATTATGATACGAACCAAGACGGTTTCACATGCATTTCATCCATTAGTGTACATTTTAATGAAGTAGCTTGATATTTTTCTGGACAAAATAGACAAAAAACAAAATTCGTGAGGTCACGTCAGTCGAAAATGTGTGTGATGTTAAAAAATCAAAACGTGCTATCACGTAGAAAATGTGACGTGACACGCGTAAGGTGACATTAGTGTGGTGCTGAAACATTAAAATACAATATAAATCTATATACCACACTTTTTTCCAGTGACGTGATTACATATGATAGTACGTGAGCTCACGTGACGTGACAATAATCTGTTCCTATCTTAAGCGTTTTTTTGTTCTTCAGATAACACAAATATAAAAGTTTTAATTTTATTCTTTGTACGCAATCAAAACAAAATCACTAAACCGATTAGACGTTAAAGTAGATGATATTCGTATTGGTAGGCACTGACTTCACGAGGGCCAACGTGGGGCAATTTCCCCCGTTTTTTGATTTTAGGGGGACTTAGCCATCGTACTTCAATTATAACGTAGGCAAAACGTAAAAATAGTATTTTGCTTTTGTGTATAAAAAAAAAAACCATATATACAGTAGTTCAAGTTTTTTATTTGGTCCTGTGCTAAAATCTAAAAATCTACGCCTAATACTAGACTTAAACAAACTGAAAATAAAAAAACAAAAAAAAAACAGAAAGATTTACTTTGGACCATGGGTAGGCCATTGTTGTAGGTGAGAAGTTGAGAACGTATGATGTAGAGGAGAATTTAATATATATATCTGTTCGCAACGATCAATTATTGCTAACGAAAAACGTTTTTGAGCGGAGCTTTGTCAATAGTGTTGTTTTTTCAAAAATTTGCATTTTCATGACAGCAAACGATTATTTAAAAAAACTTATTTTTAATCTTTTGATAACCTAAAGGACCAGTTTTTCCCCGTTATCTCGAATGTTGATGAGAATTTCAAAAAAAAAAAAAAAACCGACCTTTCTTAAGTATTAACTAGAATAAAAATGCAATCAATGAAGTTCTTTTTGTCTTTAAAGCGAAATTTCCTGGAGAAAACTGTTTGCAGGGTGAAAACCCTCATTAGGTACCCTAATAAACGTGAGTAATCCCACGACGACGTATCAACCAAATACTATAATATATTACAGGTCTTGGCAGTGGCGTAGCCCGGATGTTTTTTAGGCAGGTGTGTTTTTATTTTTTGTTTAGATGTAACTTTGTAACTTTATTGTGCACATGTAACACGCGTAACTTAATAATTATGTATGCGCAACGCAACACAGTTTGTAGAAATCTGATGCTTAACTGCATATAGTATAAATTATACATTTTTGGTATAAATATTATCAAAAGAAGGTATTTAAATACCCCTCACTACACCACTGGGTCTTGAAGTTACTGTCAAAATATCGCATTTTCTTTTTGTCCGTCGAGAGGGAGCGGGGGTACATGTGTACGCTTTCTGCTTGTGCGTTTTTCGCTCAACACATTCTTCGTGCTCTTTCCACCCGTTATCGTAGTCTTTACGTGCTGAAATTATAATTTTGTTAATAACCTCCGGTCCTTGGTAAGTCATAAATAAAAATATACATCCTAGGATAATGGGGACGGGTGCAGCCACTGTTATTCGTAATTTAATGTATACTTGTAAGCAAATAAGCGATTCTGAGTGGAATTCAGTTGATAGTAATGCTTTGTCAACAATATGTATACCATATTATAGTGAAATAATTAAATAAACTCTATATGTTTTCTTTAATAATATTTGTTTAATGCTGTACCGATTTTCCCGGTTTTCCTATGTTTTTCCCAGTTGTTCGAACTTCGTAAAGATTACGATAACGGACAGGAACAGCACGATAAAGGCAACGATGAGTGGAAACCGCACGGGCGGAAACGGGTTCATGACAACCAAGAAAAATTTAAGAATCAGTGGTGTACGTAATATTCGTATAACAATATTGTTGTACGCCACAGGGGCCGCGGCACTTTGGTTTGCTTCGAGCGTTCTCCAGGGGTACCACGAAAATCATGTGAAGTTTAAATGTGCCTTGTTTAAACAAAACCCACTGGTTTAATGTGTGTATATTCCACAGATTATATTATAAATTATGTTTTAATTGTCTAACTGTTTTGTTTTCTATGTAGGGTTATTATAAAATGATCACTCTAACACTCGTTTATACGACAAAACCGAATACTTGTAGCTTTATCTCGGATTTATTTTTTATATCTACAAAAAATAACATTAATCGAACAACTTCGTCATAGAATATAACAATTTTACCTGTGTACAGGGGCCGGATACAAGGGAGGGCTAAAGTGACTCAAAACCCTCCTTTCATACGCGGTGTAGGTATTAAAAAATAGGACTTATACTACATTGTATAATAATTATAACTGATATCGAACATACATTTTTAAAACGAATACAAAATTAATTTTGTTCCCCCTACCTTATTTATTTTCTAGACGGACCCCTATGTGTGTATAATATGTTTGGCCAGTGGCGTACCCAGCGGGTGGGCCTGGTAGGCCTGAGCCTTCCCACTTTTCTCCGAAATTAACAGAATTTTAAAATCAAACTGCATTTCTAACAGCTTATCTAGAAATTGAAGAATACTCGGGTGCCCGCTATAAAAACAACTATTGAATTTCAAATGATAACTCTCTCAACTATTCGTAGTTCTGTTTAAAGTAATGGAGCCGATATATTTGGTGAAAAACTTGTTTCTGGGGTGGTATAATTATCAAATACATAGTCTATAAAATCTACGATTCTTTCGTCGTCTGTTGATCGAATTGCCGTCAACGGGCGGTCATAGTTTTCGCCGAAAAACTTGATTTTCGTTTTCGCCGATTATCGTTTCCGCCAAAATTTGTGTCTATCTATACTATTAAGACAGAGTTTGAAAACCCCTAGTCTTATACACTATACGTCTATACAGTGTTATCGATCATCGATGCTCGTCGAAATAATTGATTTTACACGTAGTAATTCCTACTTATTATAAATGTATAGAAATCGACCTGATCTGTATTGACGTTAAGATAGCGTGTGTGTTATCGGGCTCATAGTTCACTGTGAGTATTGTGACAACATCGACAAATTTTCGAGTATTACAACCACGTACACATGTTAATTCGTTAATCTCGAGTAAATCGATGCATGCATATATACATTTCTTTAAAATGGAATTCATAACGTGTAAACGTGGAAAAAACAATGATTCCAATTGACAGGGTCAAAATTTAATTTTTCGTACAAATCGGTTCAAAAAAAATATTTCTTAGGTGAATGTAAATGGATCTCATACTATAATTAAGATAGGTAGGTAGAAATAGAGATGGCGGGAACTACCGACGTTCCCGTCAACTCGTCTGTACACCAATCGTTAACTTCTGTTGGGCTTAACAAGGTTAGGCTTACTGATATGCAACAATAAGGGAACTCGAACGTAACCCATACTACTAGCCGTGAAATCAATTAAACGGTATCGGTACAGGATAAACAGGTACCCGGGAACCAAATCGCGCGCAGTCATATATACTGTTTATAACCGTATAATATAATAGGGTGTCATCGGATTTTTAGAAAACACTTTAGGGCGGCGCCGCGAGTCAAAAAAAAATGGCTCGGGAACCCGCGTAAATGTGCGGTTTAATATTTATCGAGTACATGTTTCAATATCCAGAATACACGTCGTTTCACCGGGGACCCGCGGCCAGACCACGGATCATCAGGCGGGGCTAGCCAAATTTTCGGGGAGGAAGGACCTATGCAGTATACAGGCAGTATACGGACCATAATACACCACTGCATGTATGCATATTACACATGCCGCCCTTGCCCCTACCCCCCCCCTCCCATTCCCCGCGGCTGCGGCCCTGCGTTTCGCGTCGCGCTCTCTCGGAATCTACAATATCTAGTGTATTATAATAATAATATACATGTGTGTGTGTGTGTGTGTGCGTGTACTATCATTTCGTATCGTATCCTCTCCCGCGCGTGGAACCCGCATAATAATAATAATAGTAATAATAGTAATATTAATAACGATAATCCCGAACAGAGGCGGCCCGCGGCAAACCGAACGCACTAATAATAATGATCCAACAAAGGCGGCCGTACCGTCGCGGAAAGGCGCACGCCGCGTCGATTCCGTATTAATGACACGCGGACACACGAAACGGTCTCTCTGTACATCCGCAGCCGCGGGTCGCCCGCGCAGTCTTCCGCGGACCTTTCTGGAAGTACTTCGCTACCGCCGTACGCGTTTATCGTAGCATAGTAACACCATCTCATAATATATTCAGAACCCGGCCGCATCGTGGTTTCCCCCGGTATTTCACGTTCCGCGGCACTGTATCAGTATTTACTGTTGTCCAACAACGGGACGGAGCTCTCGCCGAATCGCCCAAAAGAGTTCACACACGCGGATAAGGTAAGGTTTTTATCGGCGTTACTGTTATTATTATTAAATACTTATAGTATCCCCGAGAAAGAAAACGGGAGGAAAAAAAAAAATAAAAAAAAATATTGCGAACTAGCGTTATTGTCGTTGCGTCTCGTTAACGAAAAAAAAAAAAAAAAACGAAACCGAAATTATAATACATTATAATGCAATATACGCACGTTATTATATTTATTGTAGCCGGGTGCGACGAAACCCGTTAAAATCAAACGCCATAGCATCTTTTCGTGGGGGGGAAAAAAAAAAATAAAAATAAATATTGCGAACTAGCGTTATTGTCGTTGCGTCTCGTTAACGAAAAAAAAATAAAAACCCTCCGTTTTACGCGGTGTATTTCTCGGTGTACACATCATGTCATTCCTTTTTGTAGTTTAAACGCGCCTACGCTCGACGTTTTCATGTCATTATAAATGCCCACCTGTTATAGAAAAATTACGTCTCCCCCTCGTTTATTTTTTGTTATTTTCGTTTTTTTTTTTTTTTTTTTTTTCTATATTACGCGCGATTCGTATTATTACGAGTGTACAGGTACTTTTTGACTGCCGAAACGTAATCTCTATATTATTAGAATATAACATCATACCGATATTCGGTTGGTTTATTTTTTTTCTTTTCAAACATAAACTCCGCGTTTAATACCCATACCTACCCATGCACAGTGATATTATTGTGCGCACACATACACCCGCACATAAAAAGCGTGACGACAGCGACGCGCATTGTGCACGTAATAGGAGCTTAAAGTAAAACATTTTTTTCGTCGTCGTTGTTATTTCAAACATAACATTTTGATGGCCGCCATTTAAAAATACCACCGCCGATAATTTATTCCATACGCGACGCTGTTAGTTCAAGAGGCTAGGACGAAATTTCACATCGATCCGTTTAGTTTTAACGGCGTTTCACATTCATGTTATTCCAAGTGCGTAGGAGGAAAAAATGCAACGAATTCGAGGGTCGAGGGGTTGTAAATCGATTTATCTATACATAAATATATATATATTTATGTATATACCTTGTTGTATTTTTTTTTTTTTTTTTTTATGAGATTCGAGCGTTCGCGTATACTTGGTATTTTTTTTATAATATTTGTCGGTAATAAATAAAGCTCGGATGATAATGGCCGTCATTTTATTAATATATGCGTTTTAAAACGTCGAAATATGCAATCGTATAAGTCATAAAATATATTAAATGCGCCTATTTTTTAAAATAAAATAAAGTATGCAAAAAAAGGGTTAATATTAATTATTTAAAAAAAAAAAAATGCATTATTTTCAATGTGTATTTAAAATTACTTTATTACAAAATACACAGCTATCAAAGCTGTTAGTCTCTTTTTTTGATTTACAGCGCATGCTCATGCTTTACAGTTTTTATGAGTTGTGTTAAAAAATATCGTTGAGATACATTAATTTCATAGAATTCGCAAAGTAATATTTTACCATTGGATTTTAATATAACATGTTCCCTAAATTTTTTCAGAAA